GGGGGTATGTGGGTCCTGAAGCGCTGGAATGGATAGATGCGGACGAAATAGACGCGGAGGATACGGTTATGGACTTTATCTTACTGAATCCTACGAAACCGCGTCCATCCGAACTACCTGCCCCAGCGAAAACACGAGTGGTTTACGAGAAGACGCCGAGGATGGTGAAGCGAGGGGGCGAGGGGAATGGTGCGGAATAGGACATGTCGGGACGACATGTCACGGAAGGGGGAGGTAAAGTAGGCGAAGAACGAGGAAGGACTTAGAGATCGAAGGCAGGGAGAGAAGAAACAGGCAAACAGCAATGCACAAGGCTGTACAACATATTATGCAAGCTTACGGATCGGCACAAAGAATCCCAGGAGAGGACTGAGAAGAAGAGACGGCGACGATTACAAAGAAACGGCGGATCGGAGAAGGGGAGAGCAGAACGACAAGGGGACAGAGCACAAGAGAGTACGGTACCGGGCAGAAACACACAGATAAAGGCCGTATCCCGTCGTTATCGTCATAAAGGTCGTTATATAAAAAAATACAAGAAAAAAGAAAAAAGAAGTCCGAAACCGTACCCATCAGCCCTCAACAACCGCAGACCCGGGCTGCTCGTTGGCATTCCCCAACACGACGTTCTCCTCCTCGGGCTCGTCGTATTCGGCGAGGAGGTTCCGCGCCTCCTCGACCTGCTTCTCGAGGGCCTGGCGCTGGGCCTTGTCGGTAATGGCCGACAGAGTACCGCTCACCACCCCGAGCAAGTTGTTCTGCACGGAAAAGTACGGATAAGCAAGCATCTTGCAAGATCGAGAAGAGAAAAGGACTTACGGCGGCTTGAATCGCCTCGTTCAAGCGCAAGTACGGAAGGTCGAGACACGAACAGTTCGAGGCCGACCTAGCTTGACATTCGAGACAAGATTGAGGCCAGACGCGGCCGAACTTGTCCTTCTTCATGACGCTCTTGCACGGCGCCTGGAAGATCATCCCCGACGTGTCCGAACCTGAGCGGAAACAGTACGGATCAGGACAAAGAAGGACACATACTCAAGAGAAGAACTCACCGTGGTTCGACCACGTCTCGCAATTATCGCACGGGAGTGCGTTGTACGAGGCCTTGTTGAACTTGGCCGCGCACTTGTTGATACGGGTAACCTACGTAGTAACGAGTACGGATTAGTACTTATTCAAACGAAACCCGTACTCGAACTCACGGCGTTGGCCACCGAACTTCCGATACCGGGCGCCGGCTTCTGGGTGACGACGTTATCGGCCTTTACTTGACCGTGGAAGAGTCGGTTCCCGACGACGACATTTCGACCGTTAGCGGAAGCAGCAGCGTAGGGCATCTTGGTACGGATAAGGACGAAGGAGTACTAGAGTGGAGAGAGTATGAAGTAGAAGAGTTAGACGACGGGGGGAATCGACGTCAAACACAAACGAACAGCGAGGTATATATCTTGTTTCGATCAACGGATAAGTACCGATCCGTAAATCGAGCTTCTCGACAACACGGACCTTCCCGCGACTCTCCGGTGGATCAAAACTCTAAAGGACCCTAGAGTGCGATACCGTACTATACGACACGATACAGTACACAAAACGTATATCACCCGGGTACTCAACGAAGGTTCGGCAACGAGTAGGCAAGTGATATCTCTTGAGTATCGTACGATGGTAGCAGTACGGGAACGCAATGATCGGGAGATCATTGTACGGAAGGGGGAGATAATGTCACAGGACGATCGATATCGGGCCCGACACGTTCCTCGCTTTCGGCCGAGATCATCGAGAAGCCCGACAACCCTTACGTACGCGTCGCTTTGGAGATCGGACTTTACGGTACAGGAACGCACAGATCCGTACGCGAAGCGAGGGAAAGGACGTCGAAGCGAACGAGAGAGAAGAACGTAGACGAGTCGAGAGGCGAACGATGTAGAAGCGCAGGGAGAGAGGTCTAGAGTCCGCTTCCGTACGCTTCGGTACGAGTATTTAGCTTTCTGTAATGTAGCGTACTTGTTATGAGACGCTTGAGTACTGAATAGGACTCAAGCGTCGATATTACATCTCTTCGATACTTGATCATCGTACAAGAGTAAAGGTCACTATCCTGACGGTTAGCCACCTCTACGAGCAGTTCCTTACAGTAAAGTACCCTTTCGCGCCGGACTTCACCTTTCGCTTACGCGGCTAGCCCTCCCGTGACAGCTGTCCACGTTCTTGGGTATGTTGCTGCAGGATCAAACCGTTCGGGACCGTATGAACGAATGGAGACAGCCTGGTGAAGACGATCAACATCAGGACGACCCGGAGCTTCGCCCCGTTCCAGGGATCATGGAACCGTTCTTACCACCCGATCAACTGATGCACGGCCTCTCTCATGGCGTCGCTTGGAGGGCCTATGCTACAAACACCGAAAGATTGTGGGGTGACGGATACCCCGCCGCAGACGAAGCGATTCCTGGATGTGCACAAACCCGTCACAGCGGGCTGAAGTACGGCCTCAAAATCATTCTCGGCTGCGATTGGTGAGTGTTCGATTCCGCGTGTATCTAGCTGGAGGAACCAAGTTGACGGGGTGGATGTCGACTTCCCACTTCTCAGGTTCGCAGTCAAGGGTCTGATAGGGTCGTCCGTAGGGGTGGTGTATGCGGTGGTCGCAAACCTTCCCCGGGACATGTGCTTTAAGAAGAGGTACACAGCACTGTTGGCTGTGATACCAGGACCCAAGGAGCCCGGACCCGACTGTTTCCACAAGGTTTTAGCACCCATCGTGCGAGACTTGCAGGTCTGCGAAAAAGGAATCGAGGTCACTCTACCGAACCAGGCCGAACCTCTGCGGGTTTCGTGTCGCATCTTGTTTACGGCAGCTGATTTGCCAGCGGCCAAGAAGATGGTTGGGGCGGTCTCGTATGCCCATGCCAAGCACCCGTGCCACCAATGTGCTGTGACCCTGAAGCAAGTCAACGAGGTGTCCGGCTACGATTGGGATCGTCTACCACGCTACTCCCCGTGCGATCTTGTGGACGCGGCTCTGGAACATAAAACAGCCTCCCCCGCTCGACAGGCAGAGATCGAATCGCAGTTCGGCGTACGTTACAGTCCGCTGGCTGAACTGGTGGGGTTCCAGCACAGTTACGCCTGCCCGGTAGATCCGCTACACAACTCATTCCTCGGCATCGGGAAGTCACTGGTGAACATGCTTTTCGATAACAATCTCTTGGAGGGTTTGCACATGGAGGACTCTCGCCGCGACATTTTTACGGCGGTCTTCGAGCAAGCGAACTATCCTGGCCATCTAGGACGTATTCCTGCCAGAGTGACTCGACAGTTTGCGACAGATAAGAGAGGAAAGGCCGGAAGCGCGCTCAAAGCGGATCAATGGAAGCGAATCGTACAGCTCCTGCCCCTAGCGTTATACATGGGGTTTCGTTCCGAAGATGGAGACTTTATACCTGAAGAAGACCTAGAAAAGGAGACGGAGGAGATCGCCCCACCGGTCCCACGTCGTGGACGCAAACGCCGGTCAGATCAAACAGAAGCTCTCCCACCCGATGGCCCCCGCAGAAACCGCGCAGAGTGGTACCGGATCGCAGTACTCGTCTCTGCGTCACTACAAGTACTCCATGCGCATTCGATATCGATAAACACGGCAAGAGCAGCTGTTCAAGATCTCGCAGATGCCGCACTCGCATTATTGTCTCTCGGGCAACACTTGTCGATCAATTGGCACAACGCTATGCACTACGCGGAATGTGTAGCGTTGTATGGGCCACTAACCGGATTTGCCACATGGGCTCTGGAAAGGAACAACGGCGAGCTCTCCCGGGTGAACCACAACGGCCAGGAACGGGATGTTCCTACTACCCTTATGCGTGCTTGGTTACTAGAGGCCCGACTTTGCGCCATCTTGTCGAATCCTGCGCCCGACGCAGACCTGCGGGAGTTACAGGCGCTGATGTCTCTGTTAACGTCGAAGGAACCCCCGAGAGGCACATTGATGATGGAGGAGATGCGAAGTGTCGCTGCGAACTGGCATATCCGGCTTCCAGTACCGTATCAACGAGCACTCTTAGTCGATCTACGACAACACGACGCCTACCAGCCATTGTTAGCCTTTGTCCAGCGCCATCATCCGGAGCACGGTTTCGTCGATGCTGCAGACTACCTGGACGACCGTCCGTGTCTTCCTCACCGTAGTGGGGGTTACCACCTCTATACGCATGCAACCTACAACGGCTTCAAGTAAGTTCGGATCTCGATATCAACTTCAGACGCCTAGGTCCGTACTATTGTTCGACGTGCTGATTTCGCGCCTGCAGGTTCTGTTCGATGTTGTGGAGCCGAAGCCGGCGAGACCAATTCGCCCTCGCTGAAACCGGAGAAGGCCAGACACGGGACCTGTGCAAGATACACTTACTCCTCCGAGTGGACTCGATCGACGCGACGCTGGCCCTAGTCGAGTTTTATCTCCCAGCCCAAGGCGACTACCCTTGGCAGACACGCTCAATAGACCTGGGCATGAAAATCTACCGACATCAAACCCTCGGCAAGGTCTTCATACGTCTAGAACAATTGAAAGCATCTACAATCGTGAGCCGTGTGGAGACCATGCAAGATGGCGACTGTCTTGTCTCGTTCTCCTGTGATCGAGTAAGTCATGCCTACTTCCCGACCGCCTTGATCTTCATCATGCTGATAATCAGGTCTTGCGCAGGATGGCCAGGACCCCAAATTTTGGCTGTTGGCCGACGATGAACAAGCGGCCGAGGCGCGTCTCGAGGATGAAGAATGAGCTAGTGACGAAGCGCGACGGTGGCTTGGATCACCGCAGCGGAATATCATAATAACTGTGAGTTCCGCCAGTTGCTATTGACATGTTGGTACGCTGTTTGCTAAGCGTCACCCTTTTGTTTCACTCTATGTTACACCGTTGATAGCCTCGTCTGTACTATAGTCTCGGATTCTTGTTTCACCCGACAACCCGGCTCGTCCGACAATCATGGGCCGCCCTACTGGCTATCGGCACCTCGGATGTAGTTCGGGAAGAAGTTCTCTTGACTACCCATCGTCTCTCGCTGGGTCTCCTGAGCCTGCTGGCCGCTCGGGATAAAGCCCAACCTCTTCATCTCCTCCAGGAAGGCAGGCTCGAAGACGGTATTGGCGTCCATGCCGCCCATACCCATCATGTCGTTGCTTCCGAGGTAAGAATCAAAGCCAAAGCCATTGGCTTGCCCCGCGTGATCGTGTGCCTGCTGATGTCTTGCCTGCTGACGGGGTAGGTTCTGGGTCTGATTGTAGGTTTCGTGCTGGGTATCATTGAAGGATATGTTGTCGACCGGACTGTCGGCACGGTGGGAATTGCTGAGGGGCGAGGTGACATTGGGGGCGTAAGTGGTCATTGATTTCGTGAGAGTTCGTTGGCCAGGCTGACGACTAGTAGCCGCCTGCTGTCCTCTTTGGTCAGGTAAAGGAAGGGGTTGGGAGTTTCGGTGAGGCTGAGATTGAGAATAATCGTCGAATGGTTGACTCGCGGGACTGATGATACGGTCGTCCTCCAAAGTTCGGTATCTGTCGGGCGTTTGCTGGTAGGTCATTCCATATCGAGACGGCCCGGCCTCTGGGGACGCTGCCTCCGAACTCGTCGAAGTCTGACTTCTCTCCCTGTTGTAGTCGTCATCAAACTCATCCGACAGTACTCTCTGGACCGCGCTGACAGCCTTCTTCTGGCGCTTCGCATCAGGACCCAGACTGCCTCCTCTACTCGGCGTCTTGGAGCGCGATCGTTCGCCACCAGCATCCGAGGGGGTTTGGGCAGCCGCCTTTCTCTTCTTGCCGATTCGAGCAACGCACCAGTCTAGGCTTTTGACATCCTCTGGGTGTGTCGGCTCGTCAACCGGGACGACATACGCATCCTCCTCTTCGGGATGATCGGCAAGCCAACTGGGATCGAACATCCATCGCTGAGGATTCTGGTGAACATTCTGAGTCCGGGTCGCCCAATACGGTTGAGCGGGGACGCGTCCAGGGTGCAGATCGGTATACGCATCCGGCTTGGTTCCAGTCGCCCGGCTCAATAACGGTGAGCGAGTATCGATGATGGCTTGTCGTGCGTTAATGAACTCCTCGCTGTATACGCCTTCCAGCTCCGGGGTCAAAAACAGCGTCTTGTCGCCCTCCTTGACCTTGGTCAGGGGCACGTTACAGAACAGCTCGTCCATGCAAGCCCACTTTCGATCGGAGTACTCTGGGTTGAGCGCACGCCGATTTGCCAGCCACGTAGACGCCTGGGTAGGGAGCAGGTGTCAATCCCTTCATTCGGTGACCGAAGTGTAAGTGTCAGCTGTAACATACCGTTTGCAAGCGACTTCTGATGGGACCCTTCACAGTTCCAGTGGCGTCGTTCTCCAGATCCTTTCCTGCTTCATCCATCTTCCGCACATAATCTCTCTTCTCCTTCAGGGTCTTCGCAACCTCGACATCCTGGCTCTCGACTGCATCCAGCTCTTCGATCTCGGCCATAACTTTGGCCCTTCCCTCTGTGGCCCAATTGCGGGTCTCCTCCAGCTTGATCTTGGCGGCGAGCTGTTTGAAACGGCGGCTGATGATGTTTCGGTAGACATCGGCGTGCGTATCATACGGAGGGATCGCGGTCAAGGGGAAGTCGCTCGGCATAGCCAATGCCTCTCGGTTGTGGCGTAGTACGTGAGTCAACTTGTCCTGTTGAGCGACGTTGAATTTGTCGGTGAAGGGCTTATTGTAATCCCACCTCATCGCGGGCGGTCCATCAGAGCCGTCTCCTTTGGCGAGCTTCGGCCAATCCGTATCGCCTGGGGCGCAATCAGGAAGCGGTACCGGGGCGGGACAGCCGTGACAATAGTCGACAGCTTCCCTTACCAGTCGAGATATACCGAGCCGCTGCCTTTTGGTCGTGGGTGTCGATTCCTCCTCATCCGATTCAACTCCTCGCTGATCTCTCAGCTTCTGCAGCTCTGTCGTCAATTCCTCGATCTTAGCAACCTGGCTCGTCACTGTCTGCTCCAACACATCAACTCTCGACACAGCTCGATTTACGAGTTGCCGCAGCTCGTTCAGCTCGGTGTCGTGGCGATTGGAAGTCGTTTGCAGCACCGAGGTCTGATGGGAGAAGGTGCGTTGCATCTGACCGAGGGCATTGGGTAGCGCTGACTGACTGGTTCCAGAGGTGAACGGTGTGATGGGAGAAAGAGGTGATGCGATAGCGGCGGCAGGGAGGAGACCAGAACGGGTGGGTGTCGTGTACGATCCTGGCGAGCTCAAACTCGATCCTCCGCTCCCGCTAGCAGATACTGATGTGCTTTGATTGCGCACGTATTGACTGCTGCCAGGAATGGGCACGATCTGTGGCTGAGGTCGGTTCGTCGGTCGAGGTGTGTTGTCGCGATCCTGGCTGATGTTCGTTCTGCCTGGGGCAGGTTGGGAAACTCTCCCGATGTCCCTCACTCCTGGAGCTCCTGGCCTTCCCGGCCTCTCTGTCCCGTAAGTCCGCTGTTGATCCGTCATTCCACCCTGCTCCTGTCGTTCTGTGTTCGCTCGACCTCCTGTCCTTCTCGATGGCGATTGCGATGACATGATATCGCCAGGCTGACCGATGATTGATATGGACGTGCTTCTTCTTCCACGACAGTTGCAGAGATCAGAGATGATGTCGAGAGAAGCTAGTGAGGAGTGGTCGATCTACCATCAGGCAAGTGAACGAGTGTAAGCATAGTCCAGCTATCCGAGGCGTTTGATTCTATGACTGACTTTGAGCAGAGATCAGACGGTTCAAAGGCACCCTGAAGCGTGCGTCGTTGACCTCCGGTCCTCCAATCTTCGTACTACTGCGACCGCATCAACCCACCGACTACGGCGACACCGGTATATGGTTGACTAGATCTAAGGGTATGTTCGCTGCCTAGAGTGTTGTGACGGTTGGTAAAGGGGGGTATACGATGGTATAGTTGGTCGACACGGGTTGTATTCTTAGCGGCTTGGTTGCTGATCGGGGGTCGCGATCTCTTGAACGCGACCCGCGATCTAATCTATGCTATCAGTTGTTTACTATGTCGAACATTTATACCTCATTTGGACCTGCATACGACTCGCATTTGGGCCTCATTTGGTCCTCGTCTGGTACTTGTTCGGTCCATGTCTCGGCTCAACTAAACGGCAGCTCGACTCATTTCGACCTCGTTTGGACCACATCTCGACCGCATTTGTTATTCATTTAGATTGCTCATTTATCAAGTAATTTAGACGAATATAAATGACGTGTAATTTCCACCTACGGGCCTCATTTCATCCGAAAAAAACGAGTCGTAAACGAGGCCTAAATGAGGCCGAAATAAGTCATTTATATACCGTCTGGGCCTTCCGAAAGTCCAGTTCTTAGGAAGTGCCACTTCCCTGCTCCGACACTGCCACCCGTCAAAATACAGATACTCAGATCATCATGTCCGACTTCGATCTCGAGACCGCCAAAGCGCAATCCCCGATGCTCCATATCATCCCTTACTCCACCACTTACCACCTGTACCGCTTTCCACCTGGCACCCCCGGTCTGGGTTCATTGCTGGGGAACATCTTCACTGCTCAACCACAGTCATCCTCCTCTTCGAGCAAGGACACGTTCGATGTACGGACGGCGGAACCCGAACGTCTGAAACGGGCCGGGAAAGGATGGTTGACAGTGACAAAGACCGAGGAAGAGGTCTCTATCATGGTGGATTCGGAGTACAACGCTGCCGAGCCGGGATCATTCGACGCGAACGCTCAGCTCGAGGGGCTCGTTCAAGCGCAAAAGTCTGACGGGATCAAGGATGGTCCGTTTGGTTGTCTCCGAATTCGAGGACCCATGGAGCTGAGTGAGTGGTCACGGTACAGCTACGAAGGCTCGCTCATACTGACCTGCCGCGGTCTCGATTCCTATCTCAGATCTTGTCGGAATCGCTTCCCGCTTGCTCGCCCCATTGACAAAGGCAAAGATAAGCGTACTGGTCATCTCTTCGTAGTGAGTATCTCAAGGCCGCACCAACGATCTACCCGATTGAATGCGCTGAACATCGACGGTCGGGCATTTTGCGTTTCTTAACACCACTCAGTGACACGGATTTCATTTTCGTAAAACAAGATCTCATGCCAAAAGCTCAAGAACTCCTACGTGCGGACGGCTGGACCGTCCTATGATTCACATCGACATATACCATAATTCTCCCCTTTCGACATTGTGACCGAGCTCAAGACTTCTTAGCCTTTCCCTTGAAAAAGGCGGCCAAGTTCCGGATACTGCTCCCGAAATCCCCAACCTTGACGTCCTCCCCGATCCACTTCGGTAGCTTGCCGGATATCCTCGATTGCGCGTATCTTTGATCGACGAGCAAGATGGAGGCGTAATCGTTCTGATGACGGATCGCACGACCTGATGTGAAGCGAGGATAAATCCAGCGATCGAGCTACCACTTGCATCGCTGATCGGTGCCTACCGATCGACTGATTGACCGCCCTCATGCAGAGATTCTGCGCGTGTTCACGAAGTCGATCGAATTAGCCTCAAGACTCCCTCGGTTGTTCATGGCAAGGCCGTACCTCGTATAGCTCTTGTCCAGCATTCTTGGACGATCCAGGAAGCGACGTGACATAACGCATACGTTCTTTGAGTTCGACGGACCCGGTATTCGCGAATGGCAGGCCGACCATGATCACCCCTCGACCGAGCGAGTCGCTGAAGTTGATACCTGGTTAAGCGTAGCGTTTTAGTGAGAGCCTACCCAGGCATCAAAGCAAGAATCCTACCTTCCGAGAGTTTCGCGCCAACGACAGCCAACAAAAGGGCACCTCTACGTTTCGTACCAGGCTCAGGCTAAAACGACACAATCGTGTCGGCGTCAATCTTCAATCTCTTTTGTCCCATTCCTTCCGCTCACATTATCGATCGCATTAGCATACTCCCGGAGGACGACTTCGACATCCGAACTGGATTGGGGCTCATAAAACAACTAGACCGGGGGGGGGACTAATCAGTGACAGATGGAGTGGCGAGCAGCCGAAGAGATACTCACTTTCTTGCGCGCATCGAGCTTGTCCAGCAGTCCTTTCTGCTGCCATATCGACTTGACCCTTGCGAGAAATGCATACGATGGCAGAAAGACGACAACACCATCTGGAATCAAGTTGATCATACTGGAGACGAGAGCCCCTAGTTCCAAGATCTACATGGAGGAATCCAAAGTCAGAAGGCCGATCCGTTTGATCCGGCAGAAGTACTCGCCAAGCCGTCGTCGTTGCGACTATCAAACTTGAACTCCATAGGTTTCTTGCTGGGCCCAAGCGTGATCACCTGGGTCAGAAGGTTTTCTCTAGGTATGACGTGATCACAACTAAGGGTCGCGATCTGCTGTTCCGACTTGGTTGGGAACAGCTGCCGGAAGTCTTTCATCTGACAGCGCAGTCCGATATTCCGACATGAATTCCGACGATCTCGACCGACAGTTGAATGTACCTACTGGTGCCATTGTGCCTCCAGCCAAGATGATGCTGCGAGCCTCTTGCACGACACTTCCGAAATGCTCCGCAGGGTTTAGGAGGATGTATCGCATCGATATGCTCAATTTCGGCTGGGCGTCTTTTGAAGCTCCGAAGGGTCCAGGTCCTGCGACCATCAAGATCCGGCCATCCTCATTCGCCTCGGTCAAGGACAGCAGGAAAGTCTCGACCTGGCGGAAGGCCGAGATGTTGTTGTGCACAGAGGCTTTGCGATTGGCGGCTGACAGCAAGCGCGTTGAGTCTGTCCGTCTTCAGACTGAAGATCAGGATATGCGAGACTCACCGTCCTGCACTGAGTCTTGCGCGGCCTTTTCAGCGTAGCCGGACACTTTTTGCGCCAGACGACTATCCTTCAGATATTGAACTAGCTCAATCAGGTTGACCTGGTCGGCTCCGCCCTTCAACTGCGACGTGATTTCGTTGACGCGAAAGAGTTGTTCTTTCGCCTTCGCCTTTTGTGCGGTCCCACCGGTACCTGGCGTATCCCCCAGCCATTCTTTGCAGATGGATGTCAACCCCCGGATTACTGCCAGACATTGTTTCAGGTGAACCGCATGGATCGGTTTGAGACGGTTTTTGAATCGCTCATAATAGGTCATAATCTGGGTTGTTGCTGTTTCTAAGTGGTCCACAGGTACCGCGATCGAATGGATACTTAGGATGGTGTCTATTAGATCTATTATACAGAGTTAGCAATCAATCATCTTCCAAGCAGAAACCGCTTACTGTGGGCTTCGTCGATTACGACTACGTGATCCTTCAGGCTGAAACCCAGAGCCTCTCGAGCGCTTTTTTGGAGGAGTAAGTTGTAAGGCAGCGTTACGAGCTGTCAAGAAAGTCGGTCAGGGTAGAAGGCGGTCGTGCATGACGAGAACGAACCTGAGCTTGTTTGACACTTCGACGAGTCGCGTAATAAGGGCATACATTTTGTGCTGTGCCCAAATCGACGATATCCTCGATATCTTTCGGATCGGCCTGTGTATCTATCTAAATTAGCACAGAATTTTTTATCCTGAGACGCTCGTCACCTTACCAGAATCTGATCACGAAGGTCGAGCATCCCATCCTCCCGCTCTTTTGGTGGCAGGTACGAACATCGCCCGGTCTTGCTGTCTATTGATTGCCCCATCAGCAGTGATAATTCTGATAGGGAATCCACTCAAGCTCACCAGACTTCTGTAGATCTAGACAGGCTTCATTCATGCGGTCTCCGCCCTTGATGCGACCTATCTCCCTTACCTTGGCGAGTACACCTGAAATAGTCAGCTAGAGGGGCCCGATCAGCATATGAAAATTGCGCTTACTTTCGCATTGATACACAGCTGAGCACGACCTCCAAGCGGCACGGACCTGACCGGCAAGCTCTCATCTTCGTTCGGTTCTGGATTTCCCCCGTCGCCGGTGGCTCGATCTTGTCTGGCGAAAGCCGTCTTTAGCAGTTCCGACGTCAATTGCCTCAACTGAGTATGGGTTCGGGATGTATAGAAGACCTTTGGCACGTCTACTTCCTCTTCGTCTTCTGCTTTCGGTTTAGCTCCAGCTTCTAATCTAAACGGAACCGGTCAGTGATCAGTGGCCCGCCTTGACTGATAACACATTGCGGATCATGACTCACTGGTTCATGAGCGCCCTCACTTCGGCCGATATCCCATCTTCTGCCGCAACTTGCTGTGAAGCAACAGAGCCAAGACGATCGATAGGCAGAAATTCATCGTCCGCATCGTTTCTCTTTTCTGAGCGTTCGTCTCCCAAGAGGTCCAGTCTCGGTTTCTTCGAGACGTGACCTTTTTGACGGCGAGATTCCTTGAGCAAAGCACGCTCCCTGGCCTTAGCTGATGCCATTCTCTCTTTCAGGCGATCCTGAGTGGCTTGATATTCCGCTATTTGCCTATCCAGTATGTGCTGAATCACCCATGGCGGGTCTGGAAAGGCAACAACAGTCACAATCAGTGAAGCAGTGCAAAGAGACTATGCACCTTTCGAATCGTACCTCCATTGTTTTCTGCAGCCAGCTTTGCGGCTAGAGCGTCTCTGGTATAAGCTCCGAGCCGTTTCTCGTTATCTTCGAGCCAAGTGAGGGTTGCTGTCAGGAGACTGAGAGATTTTCCAGTTCCCGTAGGAGATTCCACCTAAATCAAGAACCCAAGTGGGTCATCCTGATATCCACATATACGAGAGATCTGATCTCTTACGATGGCGATCTGGGAGTTCTCAATTGCGCTGAACACTGTTTGCATGAGTTGCAGCTGTATGTCGTATGGCTTCGGGAATGGAAAGGCGAAACGAGCAGGCGTCTCCAATGTCGGTACCACGACGTCGACGGACATTACTGAACGGTACTGAAACCTGGGTCCTCGGGTTCCGTTCACAGCGAATATATTGATTCTAAAGTTGCTCAACCTACACGATGCGTAGCTTACAGCGTCGACTATATGCAACTAACTATGTACAATACCCCTAGCAGCTTCAGGTGGAGGTCAACGGATGTAATCACCGGGAGCAAAAGTCACGTGATTTCGACCGATGACTAGCATACAACGGCAGCCCTTGCCAGCCTGTGCCCTGCTAGAAACACATAGAGTAGTATGACACGCTATACTTTCGAGCGAGTCATCGAAGCAAATTGAGCGAGCGCCTTCTCGGCGGCTTGAAGAGTGGGAGCAAGTGCCTGATTTCTAGATCGTCAGCAGCATCATCGACTAGATGCTCATCAGCGACTCGACATACCTCTTGAACCCGTTCTGCATCAACCGTAGTGTCTCGCTTGGCACTAAGGACGACGCTATCAACCTTTTCTCTCATCAAGCTCAGAAACTTTGCCATCTTGCGCGCCTTGGCCATTTTCTGTTCAGGGGTAGGCGCCCCCAACGTCCCCGGAGGTGTTGGTAGAACTGCCGACCAAAATTGCCGCAAGAACTCTGTATGGGCATTGTGGCAAGTCAGAATTTGGGACATGATGGCTTGAGGTATTGGGTCTAGTCAATATCAATCTCAATATCAGCCTCGTTTGCTTTGGTTATTGATGACGGTCAAGCTAACCTTGTTCTTCCGTTGCTTGTCTAGCTTCCTCAACTCCTTTGGCAACTGTGGCTACCGCCTTGTCCGCTGCTTTCCTAGAATTGGCGAACTCCTCGAGCGTCGCACCCTCTCGCGTGATCCAAGACTCCTTCTTTCTAGTCTCGCCTGGCGGTAGTGCTGGAATCACACGGGGCAGATCCGGCCGCCAGTCTCGCAGTGTCGATTGCGAGGACATGATGATATTCCGCACGTCCTGGACATGAAGCATACAAGAGATAAGTCGGTATAACTCCTGGCATTAGACAGAATATTGACCTACAGCTGAAGACTTCCCTTGGAGCCAAGCGGCACCCGCATCTTGACTGTCCGATGTCTTCCCATCAAACATGTCCTGCTGATCTTGCACATCCAAACTGATGGTAGAAGTCTGCTCATGACTTCGAAGCTCGTCGAGTTCGATCTCTCCATATAGACGGGCCTGATAAGATAAGCTGAGTTTAGGATCGATGTCTCATTAGGACTGCCTAGCATATCGCAACTCACCTCTGCGGATCTTATACCGTCTCCTAGCGCATCCGAGGCTGCATCTTCTTCACTGTGATGATTCAGTTTTACGGGTCAGAAAAGTAGACGTATACCTGAGGGGCCGGAACTTACTCTAGAGCAACTAGGCGATTCGAATGGTCATTGAACCGGCGTATCAGGGGTAGAGTCGCTTTCTGTTTGCCTGCCTGCATCGTGTAGTCCTTCCCGTTGCCTGTCTATTCGATCCGGCGGCTTGAGCTGTCATGCCGATAGCCGAAACGAAAGACGACTCACCTGCTGATGATCTTCCTCGGTAGCGGCCAAATCCAGGAACATGTCCACGCTCCTCTTTGGCGCCTCTCTAGGCTCCTCAGCTATACATCGGAACATCAATACGGCTTTGAACAGGACATGCTCGGCCTCGCTCACCATCGTCGGGGGCCTCCAAGTACATGTCAAAGATAGTGTCCGCCCTGATGTTCGTGCTTCCGCCCGCCCGGGCTGAGGCTCTGTGCCTGTCCCATAGTCTCGACCGGAAATATCTCGACCAAAAGTCTTGTTCTGTGATTTGACCTTCTTTCGTCCCGACGTGGTTGACGTAGATTTCTTGTACGATAGGAAACTCCCTGAACACCGACTCTTGCAGTTCTCTAGTGATATTGATCTTGATCTCGTCTTCGCCATTCCTTTGCTCTGGCTTTCGTTTTGTAGCTTGAGCGATTCCGAACCCGGTACCAACACTCTTGTTTTTCGCATCGTTCTTGTTCTGTGCGTTGAAGCCGAATCGATCATCTAACAGCTGAGAGGGTATACCCGGCCTTTGGGACATCAGGAGACGCTCTTGCTCTATAAGGTGCTGCAAATGCAAGGGCCAGTCAATTGGCTAGGTCTGGGCTAGGCTCGACCTAAGACCACAAACTTGTCTTCCATCCCAGAAATCCTCATCGCTAACAAGCCCGGCGATAACCAGATCCCGATGAAGCGATTTCAAAGTCGGATTCTTCGAAAGTACACCTTTCCTTAGTCCGATCTCCTCTTCGTCATAGGTAGTGCCGTTAGGACCAGGAGCTGCTGCGCGTCCTGCGGGCACTGGTGTAGTGGTCCTGCTATTTGCGGGCGAAGTTGAAGAGGAAGCAACAGGTTGCGGTCTGGCAAGTGCCGCTGCACCAGCTCCCATACCTTGAGCGGCATTAGCGTCGTTCGCGGTGTTCGTAGTGTTCCGCTGCTTGTTTTCGGCAATGAAGGGTATCAGGAAGTCTTGAAGAGCTTGTCGGTCGGCAAGGTTCTGTGGAGAGGCTGCTGTGAACTGGAATGTGAGGCCTCCCTTGGGACGATCGTCGACGAAAGCCAGCTTGGCCGACGTCTTTGCAGCTCCGGCTTTCGATGTAAACATGCCTGCAACGGACGAGGGGAACAATGTTCGGACGACAAGGTCGGAAGTGAAACCATTGCTGAGACGTACTTATGATCCGGCTCAGCTGCTGGGTAGGAACTTTCTCTGCTCCGGCTACATCCGGAACCCAGTTGAGGCTCGTCTGTCCGATGACAAGGGTGCCAGGGTTCTTGTTGTAGATCGTCTTGTACTTTTTCACTTGCCCAGCCGCGCCGCTGGAACCTTGCTCCGCCATCTTTACGTTCGTCAATGTCTGACACGGCGAGCGATGAGCGAGAACAGATATCTTGTATCTAAGGAAAGATACCTTTAGTGAACTACTGGTCGTTCTGTACCTGTCCAAGGGATTCGATCGATCCTCCGCACCTGTCTTCGTCATGCGTCGATCACCAATTCACGGTGGAAATAAAATGCAAACGCGCCTGGAGGTCGGGACAGATGAAACATCTTAACAGCATATATCATATGTGACATTGATTGTCATGCTGTCTGCCTTCTGTCTCGTGTGTCAAGCAGGCTATCCCGGAGTCCGGGAGTCTGGTTGCGACGTGGTGCCTCGACATGATCACTGTCTACTTCACCGCATTATGGCAGAAATCCTCTCGACCCATTGCTCGCTGGCCTCCTCGATCGTCTTCATATGGGCCTCATCATTCTGATCCTTGATGTTTCCCGCAGCCACAGTCAGACTAAAGTCCGGACCATACTCAGGCCAGTACTCGTGTTCGGGCACGGACCCATCGGGATCAAAGCCGTTTCCCAACTATATATGTTCAATAGTCAGGACTGGACGTCTTCTGTCAAGCCCGGCGAGAGACTCACAAACACGCTCGTAGCGCACGCCCAGCCCTTTGCGGTATTCAACCGGTTATAGCCTCCGCCTCCTAATACTAACGTCCGGCAGTTCCAGCTTCTGATCATGTCGCAGACCCAAGCGACCCCTCCCTCCCCATCGAGTGACCAATTCCCAGCGCCATCGACCAGGTTATCTCCATGCAGAGCGTCCATACCGAGTAGCAACACGACGTAATCCGGTTTGAAGGCGTCCTTGATCGGTCCAACGCATGTCGACATCAATCTCGCATATGTCGGCGACGAGACACCAGCGTTGAGCGGTATCGAGAGGTTGAACGGTGTCGGCGTTTCAATCGGTGTCAACCCTCCTTCAGGATTGGCTGGAAAGAACCCTCTAGCATAGTGATGCAAGGATAAGGTCAAGATGCTTGGCTTGGGACCTCTTAGTTGCTGTGCTGTTGCCGGGTTGGAGTATCGGTAGGGATGTCGACATGCGGAAGCCACGCCGTCTCCGAAATGGATATCCAGATCAAGGTACATGATCCTCGGTCGTCGACTGCGGGTTTGAGGCAGGTATCGGAAGCGATTGATAGCGGTACCACCTTCCTCCTCGGCGGCCTCCCGAACCCTGACGCAGCCTTGTCTTCGTAAAAGATCGATAGCCAATCCGACATCCTGCACATAGCAGAACCCGGCTGCCTTGTCTCTCATGGCATGGTGTCTCCCGCCTTCCCAGTTGAACACGACATCGTACGGAGTCGCTTTGCCGCTCTCTCGAGCCTCCCGCAGATCCGGAGTACCTGTGTCACTGGCGACAGAGGGGACACATAGGTGACGAGCTGCCGTTAAGCTAGATCCTGCGATCCCAAGTATGTAGTCTGGTGAAGGAGGGTCAGCCTAGAAAGCGAACAAAGAAGGTCAGCTCGATGACCCAGCACCAGAGTGATATACATTTCGGTGCCTACAGTCAAACCGTATCGATCACTGCTTCTTCTCCTCTGTCGTTTCCTGGGCCGATCGAAGCTACTGCTGGCTCTCGAGCTAGAAGAGCCGTTGTCATCACTATCGTCCTCGTCTGTTCCAGAAGAACTGTCCACATCAGAATCTCTGATGCTCGATCCTCCACTCGCGGCTTTGAGATTGGCGGTCAGCTGTAAAGGAGAAATGCTCGATGTCAGCGTCGACCGATATGCGACCAGGATGAGTACCCATTCACCTACAAACGCTGCACTGTGGAAGCGCTGAAGGTCTTCTCTGTGAGCTTTATCCGGTACAATCGATGAGGCTGTATTTCTGGAGCACTGTGTCGATGCACACGATGACTCGTTGCCAACCAGTCCTAGAGACTGAATCAGAGCGTGTACTCGAGATGACCTGCCTGCTGGAGGAGTAGCTTCATCGGCCAAGTCTGAGAGTGGCTTGCAGTAGATATATCCCGCCTTCATAGGAGCTTCTGCTTGCTAATTACTGCTGGATGGTCGAACGCTTCAAGCTGATGCTCATTGCTCAATTGCTCATAGACGACTCCATCACGCAGAGTGTGAGTACTACGTACTTGCACATGGGATGCGATCGATGCGACTATTTGTTTTGGATTCGTCACGAGCCCCAGTCCCGCAATTGCTTCCGACACATCAAGCAAATTACACCTATCCCTGAGCATGTGAAGGCCTAGGCAAGGCAAACGGGTCGACCACGCGTCAGCTTAATTCTATGCTAGCGAACGCTTCCGCACCCCTCGCGCGACGTCTCGCGCGCAAAACAACTGACTCTCGCATCACGCGTCAAGCCACGCGGAGCAATGTGGGGCGTGATCGCTCTCTTCCCGCACGTAAATAATATTTCCCGCGTCCAAATTTGGTAGTTCTCGCACTTTAGCGTTTTCAGATCTTGCCCTCAGCGCTCTCACACATGTACCCGCAATACATTTTTTTTTTCTGTTGTAAAGTACATCGACGATTACTACCCCTCCCAATTCCCCAATCCTTACTCTACCCCTTCCGATCACAATTGCTTTCGGTAACTTTGATATCCGAGGTATGACAATAAGATTAATATTATATCCCAAGAGCGATTATTACAAAGGTCGTGACCGATACCCCTATGCCACAAATATATCAAGTTGCAAGCTGTACAAGAATCAAATCTTTCTCTCCCGCCTTGGCGCCCTACGTCTTTTTGGCTTTCCCGCTGTTCTTCTCCTTCTTCTTGCCCTCCTTTGCAACCGGGAAACGAGCATCTTTCCCTTCGATCCTCACCGCCATGTCCTCGGCTTCCACGCAAGCGACTTCCCAGAACTCATCGATCATCGGCTTCCAGTACTCGCTGTCCGGATCCGGTAGGCCAGGAGATGTAAAGACAATGACGTCTCCCTTCCCATCCTTGAATCGAGGTCGAGCGCAGAGAGTTACGGACAACGTTCCAGATTTCAGTGCCGCGTCGGTCATCTTGGTCCGGATTGCATCGTGGAAATTGTTCCACACCTGCGCTCGAGCGTTTCGAGCCGCCTGAGCATCGCGATTCTTGCTTCCCGTAATCATCTCTGCCGGCAGCCATTCGTCGTCCTGCTCCGCAAGCCATTCGACCGTCCGCTTTTTCTGCTTGTGCAGATCCTGCCATTGAACTCCGGTACACTTGACGTACTTCAACAACATCGGGGGGACACGCCGTCGCGTCGATCTGCGAAAGTTCACTCTCATAAGCAAACATGAGTCTCGTTGCATATACTCCGTCTTACTCACTCTCCCTGGTCCTCCTCGTCCTCCTCGTCCTCCTCGTCCTCCTCGTCCTCCTCGTCCTCGTCGTCGTCGTCGTTGTTGTTCCCCTCCTCCTCGTCGTCGTCGTCGCCCCCCTCGTTAGGCGAAGCTCCCTCACGCTTCAAACCCTTTCGATCGGGACCATCATCGTTCCCGCTCTCGCCGTCGCTATCCCCATCGCTTTTGCCGCTACGACTAGGGAAATCGTTTCCAAAGTCACCGCCGCCAAAGTCATCGCCGTCTTGGCTGTGCAGGTCTGCATTGCTTTGCACCTCACTACCAAATTTCTCGCTGTATATTTATGTCAAGGGAGCAAGGTTCAGCATCAAAGACGCTCTTCATCGTGCCAAAGCTATTCAGACTTACGCCTCCCACTTTTCCCGCTCCTTTTCCCTCGCTTCCCGCACAGCCAACACGTTGCGCACATCAACTTCCTTGAGCCCGGCTGGCTTCGACCATGCAAAGTCCTCCTGCAACGAGGTCGACTCTACTTGCCAAGCTTGACCGTCTTCATCGCTATCCAGGTTGCGGTAATGAAACTCAACTAAGTAACGTTTGAGTTTCGCTCTGAAGTCCGCTTCGACCAGGGTGGGGAACGGTTCATCGATAGCAGGAGCAAGCCGTCCCAACACCTTGCTCCACACATTTTCCCGCAACTCCCAACGTTCTCGGAACGAGACACCGTCCATCCTTCCGAGCTTGAGATTGTGAACGTCGGCAAAGTAACCCGCCCAAGTCTCCGTATGCGGGAATAGCCCGATCGTGTCTTCCACCTGGGCGCGTAGGGTCCACCGGCTCCCTGCAATCATTGGCCTTTTACCCAATGCTTGGAGTGCAGATCGTGCTCCCGCATTCTCGAGCTCCGCGAGGCTCAGGTCGATCGCAATTGGCATACCGACTGTGTTGCCGTGTTCCCGCCAGAGCTCACGCGCGCGGCTGCTGATATCAGCCCAACGATGTCGAGCCTCCGGGAGTGAAACAACTTTTTGCAAAGGCGCCCAGGTTGCTTGTAGCAAAACACCATCGGTGCGTCGCAGCATATCAGGCCAGGATGGGAACCCACTCGCTCTCGTAGAACCGTCCTTCACCCAGCAGTCGTCGGAGGTAATGTATCTCGCCGGCCAAGGAACTGGTCGACTTGAAATCCGGACGATTGGCGAAGACCTCGAATATCCCCCCGACCACAGCAATGAAAGCAGGAGTGGCACCTTTCATCCATTCCCGCCCCATATACACCCCATCTTGCCATCCGCAACCTCGTACCACGTTTCCAAGTGCTTCCCGCAGTGCAGTCGCCTTCGTCAGATACCTCCGACCGACGTCCCACAGCTGCTTCTTGTCGGGAGTGTCGCATTCATGCGGCCGGCCATCGATCTCAGAGACAGCTCTGAAATCTCTGAAGGTATCTCCCAACAACGCGTGGACGCATCCCGCTGCTCGCTCCTCAGTGTCGATGATCTCGTCCCATCTCCTCTCAAGCTCTTTTGTGAGGACATTGTATCCATCTTTTCCCAGAGAATTTATCTTGCGGATGATTTCCCGCTTCGATATCCCCTGCCACCTTTCCTCGCGAGCCTCGACTGCTTGAGCCAGTATACCGTATGCTTGTGCTCGTGCAGGAGAATGACACTCGTTGAAAGCTTTCCCGTAAGCTCCAGAGTCCCAAGCAAACTCAAAGAAAGCGCACAAGCGTTCCGGCTGTGTCTTCCCATCGTCGGTCCCGATTTCCATGACCTTCGTCCACTCGGACGCGTTCCAGCCTTCCCCAAGAAGAAGTTGAACTTCCCTTTCAACGTGCTCTTTCCATGACTCCACACTGTGAGCCGGGTTGCGCCGGACACCCTTCATCGCGATGTCCAAAGCTCGTACCAGTCCATCTGGATTTTTGAACCGTCCGGTTGGAAACGGTTCTTGCCAGCGGGAACCCGCACGATAAATCGGACTCCGCAAGTTCCGTCCGATCCCGTAAATGACTTGGCCGAGGAAGTCCTTTTTCTCATGGCGAGAAGGTTTGAGAGAGGCCGCTTCACCAGTCTTTTGCTTCTTCCGCGGCCCGTCATCATCCCCCTTGTCCATGTCCCCAAAATCTCTCGGAGTTCTGCCTCGCCGTTTTCTGGCACCATCCCAGACGTCTTCGGCCACATCTGTAACGATGTCTAATCCCCTCTTGCGGGAATTTTGTTTTGGACCGGTCCCTTGTGACCGTTGTTCCCATTCAGCAAACTTCGAGAATGTATCCTTCAAAGCTTCCTTGTCGATCGGAACTGCTTTAGGGAGTTGGCGGACTTGTTGCGGTCGTTCCAGCTTGATATTCGGGACAGGCCAAGATACCGAGGGGAAAGGACCTGTTTCCGAATCCAGGAGATCAAATCGCTGTTACCACAAATTCATAGTCAGCTTTTGATCATTCCCGCTCGAAACATCTGCTGTATGACTAAATCACTTACTCTCTTGTACCCAATTCCCGCCTCTTTATTCATCTTCTCCTCCGCTTCACCCCGTTGCTCTTCTTCGCCTTCTTTTTGCTTCTCTGCACCAGAAGCTGGTTGCTGGCTTGCAGCATTGTCCTCGTCCCCGTCTTTCTGCGCTGACTGGCGATTCGACTTGTCGTTGTCGTTATCCTCCACATTCTTCGCTCGAGACGCAGCCTCCCGGTCCATGCGATCTTTGTCGAGCATCGCCTGTCTCAGAGTCTCTCCCAATTTCGTCTTCTTCTCCTCGTCCTCCTTCTCCTTCTTTCCCTCGTCCTCCTTCTCCTTCTTCTCCTCGTCCTCCTTCTCCTTCTTCTCCCCGTCCTCCTTCTCCTTCTTCTCCTCCTCCTCCTTCTCCTTCTCCTCCTTCTCCTCCTTCTCCTTCTCCTCCTCCTTCTCCTCCTCCTCCTCCTGCCTTCTAATCTCTTGCTCACATCGCATTGCCTCCTCCTCCGAAAATTCTCTGTCCAACCGGCCCTCTTCCACCATCGCGGATAACTCTCGTTGCTCCACAATCCTTGCCAGCTCTTCCGCCAGCTCTTCTTCTTCCCGAACTTGGCGTCTCTCTTCTGATAATTCCCGCTGACGTACACGCAGGTCGATATCAAGTTCGTCCATGAATCCATGGACAGGCGAAGACGCAACATTGGCAGAAGGGGGAGGAGCATTTGCAGGGAGAGGTACCGGTTTTGGACTAGAGGATTTTGAAGGCTGCAACACAACGGTGAAAGAAGTAGTGGTCAGTCCAGCTCTTTCCCGCAATCTTGATCGACCTTGGGGAGGTACTTACAGGCAACGGACTCAAAGTCGATGTCTCTTTACGTGGTCGATTGACCTCCTCTTCCGAACCAGACCTGGCTCTTTTGGCCTATATCCCATTGTTCCCATCACTCAATTAGGGTATATCAGACACCAAGCACATTCAGACTACTGAACTCACCAGTCTTTCCCGTTCCTCAGCTTCAAGCTTCCGCTTCCTGTTACCTTCGTTCAGTTTCTCTCCGGCAAGCTTCTTCTTTTGCTTTTTGGTCAACGTGCGAGGTCTTCCGGCACCAAGAGCGGCTGGCTTATCCCCTTGCGCATTAGAAGCTTCGTCCGACATCGTAGTATGTGATATTTGATAGAGGCGAGAGCAGATGTTGCAGATATGCTATAGAACGATGAGAAAATGGGATGCGGGAAAGAAGAAGGTCGGTGGTACGAAACACCAGCGCCAACGTTCAGTCAGCGTTCTTATATACACTCCAAGCTGAGTTAAGACCGACTGTCCTTCTTTGTTCTTCTTTCTGGTATGCACTGCAGTTTCGCTGATCAGTTACGGCTTGCTAAGATTACTCCTTGTTGTACTAGATGTCTTGTGCACTGTGTTTCGTTGTTACGGCTATACTTTCTTTTGTTTTGAATGTCACCTCCTTAGCTCCTTTCAAGTCTTTGTTGGCCACTTGCGCGTGAGAGAGAGCTGCTGTTTTTTAAGGCAACGCTAGTCGCTCCTCGATTCCCGCTGGCTTTACCTTTCCCGCACACTCACACGGACTATTTCTCGCCGTTCATCTACTGTATTATTACTGTAGACTGGACTCTGGTGACTCATGACTCAGCTACCAGCTAGTATACTCTTCATACGAGCACAACATTATTACAGCTCTACAACGTGCAACATCTGTCACACTTACCAATACATATCGTGGACACACAACACGGATCCATCCTGTCTGTTCCTTACGAAGTTCAAATATATAGCATATACACTCCATTTCATACCTCACTTCATCATTTCACTATGGACTACGACGATCAAGATTTTTACCGAGAGCTCGAGATCGCCGAACGTCTTGAAGATGACCCACCCATACCGACACACGGTGAACAGCTGGACGTTCGTACCGCCCCCCCTAAATTCGTGTCACGATTAAACTACAATCTGGCTGTGCAAGACATCCTGGATTCCCTCCGGGCTCAATGCGCTGAATACGCTCCCAAGCTCAATGTCAAACCTCAGACGTTGCTCCATTCGGTACTCGACGTCACTCACAAAGAAAAGAAGAGTCGTCAACTGACTACTTGGCAGGCAATCGTACATCTGACTAGAGAAGAGCTTAGTGAGTGCTATCCAACTTTGTTAGATAGTCCCTACCTTTCCATGGTACCTTTGCTCACACCGCGTAACCATTCGCCAGAGAGTTCTGCTGCACTCCATTCCGATGCCAATTCTCAAGAGGTCACAAACCCAACGAAATCTGCGCGGGAATTATTCGCTGCGACCATCACCGAAGCCAAAAAAAGGAGGCAGCAAAATCATTGGCCTGAGGCGCATATCGAACGGGTTCGCCAAGAGTTGGAGACTCGTCGCACGCACCGCCAACCTAGAAACCCACCCCCTCCCCCAAGGACTACGGACGCACGACGATTTGCAGCCAAGCGCGCCCTCGATGCATTTCAGGCTATTGGCATTCAGGTAAATACCTTCACTATCGTCCACCAACCGGCAACTATCAGCTAAGAGCGGCGGGAATCGTCTTTACCATGATCACAGCTTGGTCGACTGCACGAAATTCACGACATCGCCAGCTGTCTTATCATCATGCCGGTTGATCCTGACCATCCGCTTGTTCCTCAATGTACGGTTCAAAGCCCTTATTTGGAATCGGTGTTGTCCAAGCGCTGGGGCGTTGTGGGAAGCGATCAAGCTCGCAGCTATGGGGTGTTACGGACGATTCAAGCTTCAATCCGAGAGGCTAGAGCTCGCAGGTGTGAGTGGTGTGTTCGTCAGTACCACTATTGTTTATGACCGAGAAATTCACGTCACCTACTTTTCAGACGATGAGCAGATCTCGGCCAGTGGTTCTGCGGGAACTTCAAGCTCAACGTCCCTTGAGCGTCATCATACTAGCCTGTCGATGCCAGAGCAGAGAAATCGACTCACTGAGGAGATCAAGACTATGCTGAACCAACACTTGCCCCTGGATAAGCAGGTGTCGCAAGTGCCATGGGCTACTATGCATCTACTGTGTTATGCGCAGGAGCTCTGGTGGGAGGGTGTAAAGCTTGACTTTCAGTGGGACGGAGTACGAAAGACTCACAGGGCCGAGGTATGTGGAGACAGCTGGGCCGAGTTGGGATGGTTTTGAGGAACTGATGGTTATTGACGACTAGGTCGAAGCCTTGGGTAGTGCCTATGTCAAAGGGAAGCTGCGTCTGTGTCCTCTTAAAGATTATCAGGAACCAGACCGGACCCACATGAAGGAAATTCTTGGACAGCTGGCAGTCCGGGGAACCTCTATGAAAGCTCAGAAGCGGGTCTTCGGGACCACCGCCCCGACCTATTCGCAGGAAACATTCGACAGACTTGTTGCTGATCTACGACATGACCACGTTTGAGCGGAGCGCTTGAGTAGTACACACTGTCCTTTTTCGTTTCAAAATGTAAATGTTCAGCGTAATATGTATAATCCCTGTCGTGCGATATTTGACACTTCCCGCCGGTCAGCACGATTCCCGCCGCAAAAATCGTGCAAGAAATGGATGGCGCGGGGAGCGAACTCTGGATCGCAAGCCACCATCCTCCCAAAAAAAAAAAGGACTCGGCGCGACCGTTGCGCTATTGCAGCGCACAACATGCTCGTTGACAAAGCGCTGTAATAGCGGCAGTGAATGCGCATCCATCACGCCCCATCTGAAACACGACATTGATTGGAAGTACGAACCTCTGAATCGGCTCATGAAGGGCGAGCCAAAAGCGAGGCTATCGTTCTGCTGATGCACTGGCCGCTCTGTGATGTTTCGATTTATCGAAACATCACAGAGCGGCCAGTTCAGAAGCAGAACGATAGCCTCGCTTTTGGCGAGCTTTGGCTCAGCGCTTACAGCGCTATTTCAGTGATGACTTGTCGGCGGGAACATCGTGGACATCGGGTTATGAGGCGGGAATAGAAGACACACGATCTGATGTGAGACGGGAACAATGGCTTCTCAGTATTTTATCTCCTTGGGTAAGTCATCGTACGGATCATCATTGCGTGGTGGCTTCGAATGGCGAATCGTATATATCATTGCCACTTGAACATCGGCACAACCATCACAATTATATTTGAACTCCCTAAATATCTATCGGTCTTGGAGTATATAGACCAGGAGCACGGCGTAGAGGCGGAAAATGGCGCGACGACATATGTTGATTATGATAGTATAAATTAATATACCTTTATGATGGACCTGAATATCAAAAGATGAATACGGTTCTGATCGGCGGGAAACAAATTTGGGAGACATACGTAGCGTATACTCACCGGTCTAGCTGCACTCGCCCATGAGACCGTTGTGTAGACATCGACACATCTTGTTCGCTCGAGTCGATTCTTCTCGGAACGTCGCCAGAGTCTCCGCCGAGAAGGCGGGAAGTTTTTTCGCCGACTGTTCTCTGGTCATCCGCCAAAGTTTCTCCCATCGTTTGTATATGATGTTGATCCGGTACAAACCGGCACAAAGCGGGAACCAACTTCGAGGAGTGTGCTCCTTGCACAAGCGTAGCATCGACATGCAGTGAAACAGTCCTTGGCCGAACGCGTAGATCTCGTACATGCGATCTTCATTGCGGGCGGCGAGCGTGACCATACCGCCGGTCGCAAGGATCTCGGTCCTGGCGTCATCATGAGCCATCATGATGATGTCCTACCGACAACGGAATCAACAACGGAATAGATCAGATCAATATGACTTCGGTGCAATTCCCGCTGTTAAAACTCACGTGCACTCGGAACTGAGTAAAGCCGTCGTTACACCTTTCGACCAAAGGATATTTGAACGGGATGTCGGGGGACATGAATAATTCCCGCGTGAGGTCCTGCGGAGTGTACCCGGGCAGGAGACGATGCATGCCGAGCTTCCAGTTCCATTGTAGTCCGAGGCCTGTCTCATTGATCGCTTTCCAATTCCACTCGAGACAAGGCTGGTTGTTAAGCCTATTCGCCTCGAAGATGGGCGAGCGAGGCGGGAATATGCCTCGTAGCATCCCGGGAGGAGGTGGCTCGTCGAACGCGCACATCTCTGGATACAATTCGACATTGTGTTCGGGCGCCCAAACAACGCGGTGATCTCTTGCGACCGTGTACGCATTGCCGTTCTCGTCGTAGTGGTAGACGCCGGGGGAAGTAGGGTCCTGGTAAGGACTGTATTGAGCGACGTGAGGGCCATAAAACATGGAGGGGGGACGGGTAGGAAGAGCGATGTTCTCCATGGTGATGAGCTTGACGAATGTGAAGGTAAGTCGTGTGAATCGGCTAGGATGGTGATAAGAGAACGCGTGGAACGTTATGTGATTGTGATTGACATACATACAAGTTATACAAGTTACAAGTCGACGGAAAGAACGTAGGTCAGTGCAGCTATATATATTCGCGAAGTAACACCAAACGCAAGAAGAATTCTTGTAAAGTGCTACGGTAACGATCGTCGGAAGCTCGCACGTAACAAAAGATAAACACCTTCAAAGGACCTTACTAAGCGGCGAAAGGCATCGTAGATCATCATCGTATCCACTTTGCAAGCGAAATCTACGTACCTTACCCTCCCAGGAACAAAGAACAAAGAAAATTTCGTCAAAGGATCGACGATCATACCAACGTAATCACCCTATTCTCAGAGGCCACCGGGTACGATCGGAAGGTCTCAGGGCTTTCAAACGTTCATACGTGGCGTCGGTATTTGCGGGAATACAGTCAAGACATATTCAATGCGGGAATTTCAGGGGTGTTCCGATAGATCGTCAGCAGTCTCACTCAGACCAGGGAGTTGGGCATCGACCCGTTGATCGCTATTCCGCTTCCAATGCGTCATCAGCGCCGTCAGTCAGGCCTGGTAATTGAGCCTCGACTCTGGGGTCCATTCCCTCATCGGGCATGCGGGAGGCAGACCCACCACGTGGAAGACTTGCAGCCAGCTCTAAGGGCTTGCATGAATTCCGCCAAGGTAGCAGTCTGCGATCGGCCTTGATCGGAGGGAAGGAGAATGCTGAGCTGCGATGCAGATTTGCTGTGGCGGGAATTTCAATCTTTGAAAGAGTTTTCTTCTGACTATCCACCAGTTGCTCAAGGTACTGAAGCCTTT